GTAAAATAAACATCTGAAAGCCATAGTGATGCAAATTCTTAGTCATGAAGAACAATCACTCTTTGCGGTTAAAAAGCATGAGACCACTAGGAATGGCTCCTCAAGAGGTCAAAGGATACTTTCTTGATTTTCAAAAGGACACATTTCTAGCTTCTGACTACTTAAATAATCACTTTGCAAGAGATAACAACATTTTTTATTATTAAATTCATACTCCACTTTGCTTCTGACTACTTAAATAATCACTTTGCAAGTTCAGAGATAACAACATCTTTTATTATTAAATTCATACTCCACTTCATGTAGTCAAATTTTCAGATGTCAGCACAAAATGAGTCAGCTTTGTTATTAACAATTCAAATGAACAATATATATTCAGAAAATTGATCAAGTAATTTATACAACTTCTAAAATGAATTTTAACAAAGAAATCTGTTGTTAGAATTTATGACACAAATGGAAACATCACAACAAGAAAAAAAGTCAACAACAATATTTAAGCAATTATCATGGACAAAAGTACCCGTAAGTCCTGTTATTGACAAGGCAGCCAGAACAAGTCATTAACTTCCTAAAACTGGATAAATACTACCATTGTGAAAACAGACACAAAACAGTAATTATGAAACACTGTTATAGTGGAAGGAGGACAAAACCAAAGAGTAATTTTTATAAATTCAAATACACTGAACTTCTCAGTAATTGCTAAAAACATACGCTACAAAACTGAATGAGGTTTCTATTACCAAGGCAGTAATTCCTGTTCATATCCTGTTCACATCAGCCCGAGCTCATTGATTAAGGTTTTGAGGCCCTTTCGTGTAGAGTGGTCTATATCTTCTAAAATTGGATAATTTACTCCTGTAAAACAGCAGGTATCTTTATCTCTCAGTTATGTACATGGAGATACCCAAGTCATTGCATGACAGTCAGAGCTCCTAAGCACGCTGTTGGTTTGGGTCTTATTAACAGCAGAACAGTTGCCAAACTGAAAAGTTATCCTAGTCGAACAGGCATGTAGCCATGTTTTCAAGTACAGGATAAAGCTCTTCATTTACTATACTAACTGCAGAAAGCTAAGCTTTCATTTGAACAGACTTTTCAAAGTAACAAAAGTTAAAATTCCCAGTATTTAGATCTCAGACTGCAGTTACTCTGGAACACACAGCACACAGCAGAATTTACTACCCCTGACTGCATCAGCATAACTTGCAATATTGCTTGTTTAACATGCAAAACCAAACAATTTTATACTGGCCAAGTTCTGTATTATATTTATAATTAAGTTAAACACAGATGTTAATCTTGAAATTAGGATAAGAGTTTGGCATTTTAATTAAAATTATTTACTTGCTACATGACCTGATATTACTAAAATTGGTTAGCAATGCTAGTGTTTATTTATTAAGAAAAGTAACATAAGAATAGCAGTGTTAAAGATCAGTATTTGAGAAGTATTTAAGATTTTAGGAACAGGCTTCCAAGTATTAATTATAAATGACAAAAAAAATGAGTGATCAGTGCATAAACAGGAATCGTGATCACTGTAACTAATGATAATAATCAATAGTACTTACTGTAATTACTCTTAACTATATTAATTAATTCTTAATTAAGCAGTAAATCCAGTAGTTCTTATAGGGCTTCAACAGCTTTCAGCCAGTGTCTTTTCTAGCTTACCAACAGTGAAAACAAGGAAGACCAGAGTCTATTTGTGCATTATTTGTCCATCGTCTTAAGAATCATTTCACAAGTCATTTCTGTGTTCTGTTCTCTCAGAGTTGCTGTTTCTGTTCCATCTAAAACAGGAACAATCTCACTGGCACAATGTTCATTTTTCACAGTGGAGACATCTCGGAATGATGCCAGATCAACTTTGAAAAAAATAAAAAATAAAATTGTTGTGATTAACGGGAAAGACAAGTAAATATTTCAATAAATTTAACAAATAGGCAATTTAATTTAGTGGAGAAAATACTGCCAATATATAACAACGGCATAACTTTTATATTATAGTTTATTTGGAGAATGAATATATTTTATGTTGAATATTACATTACAAGCCATGCTAGCAAGTAGTACCCATGGTATTCTTATCAGAGGAAAACTAACCATTATTTAACTGGAAATTTAATTCTCATATATATGCATTTTATTTTTTAATTATTAGTAACAGCAAATCATTGACAGCATCAGTCACACAAGCAGGACACATACAGGATCCCACAGGCCCCTGCAAGATGAGCAAGAAGTGAACAGTGAAACATACTTGGACATGTCAACTTCGGGGAAAAAAACTTTTGGAACCAGCACAGAAATTTCTAATATTTGTGTGAGTCAATGAATAGACTGAGTATTTGCCTGAACAAAATCCACAGATGCATTATCTTAGCTCTACAGAATCAAGCTTCCCTATGAAGAGATTTGCAAGATATTGAAAAGAAATTGTTTGCACACAGCAAAACATTAATAAACAGTAAAATCTAATTATTGCAAAAACATAAACACTGCAGCTGTAACATTTCTCTCTAACCATACCATTACAGCCTTACCAGTGAAAACAGAAGTGTCAATGCTAATGTAAACTCAGCTGCTGATATATATTCATTAGATTCAGAAAAGCTTCAACATTTCTTCTTCTCATTATGTCAAATTTTATCTCACTGCCATTGGCCACAAATCAATGTAGATATCATCTGATATAACAAAATTTAAGGTTTTAGGACACCTAGGCCTTAGATGTATCTCTATTCTTGTCTCTTACTCCATAAAAATCACTTGAAGAATCCTATCAAGGAGACTACTATGGCTTTCAAACAGCATCTGGGAAGCAGAGAGGCAAAAAACAACAAGACATTCTGGGCAGGCAAAGCTATTTTTTCGGCCCTTGTGGCCCTGAAGGTGACATCAGAAACATGGCCAGTTCTCACCCTGTAATAGTGTAGAGATTCAGCATTAGATCAGAGACAAGGGGAAGGCAGGGTGCAGGAGTTTTTGCCCACGGCCTAACCTAACTGAATTTTGTATATTGCACTTTGTCTAATTCAACAGAAATGCACAGAAGTTAAATTATGAGCAGACACCTCCTCTGGGTCAAATTCGGACTGTACAGTGAAACTGCTAGAATATTAATACATCCGTGGTGACAGGCTAAGGTTTATTTGAGAGAATAAAAAAAATACTTCATATGTTTTTAGAGTTGCAATTAAGATAAAACATAAATGCTTCTATCGGGAATGTACTAGCATAACCCAGATAGAAAAGACACTTCACTATCGCTGTGGAGTTCTCGCTGACAAGACACCAACTGACCAACTGGTCTACTATTTTGGTCTGCCAAAACCTGCACTTACCCACTTTCTGGGAACCTTAACCTAATGAGAAAAGATGAGGGAGCAGAAGAAATAGAAGGAAAGAGATTAACTACGGACCATCTTTTCATTTATACTCAAGTTTACAGAATAAATGCTCAGCGCTCACAAGCTATCCACAAGGAGTAACACTAAGTAATTACAAGTGAGCTTCTGACTGCACAGACGTGCTGAACCAAGAGGTCTGTGAACTGGCCTGATCACCTCTGCAGTATGACAGAAGAATGACTCTAGCTATTCAAATCAGTACCACTTTTATTATCATTTGATCACTATTTCATACTCTCTCTGAGTATGAGAGAAAGAAAATGAACTATTTATAAAGATGTTTTGTGATTAACATGTAATCTGAGTTCTGAAATGGAAAAGTTTTCAGACTGGTCTGTATTAAAGCAGTATATTATAAATCATGAGATCTTAAGGAAACTCACTATGGCTGAATTCAGTAATGATGTGTTTCATCCTCCTTTATAAAGCCTAAAAGAATTTGTGAAAAGGGACAAGAAGAACACATTTGTAAGCATTGCTAAGCAGGGAGTTTAGAAAGATGTTTTCAGGAGCAGGGAAACAGACATCCCAGAATGGGTACCTGAGCAATGACCCAACTCAGATGACAAGAATTTGTGACACACAATAAAGACCATTCTGAAGTATTCTTCCATTATTAGCACTTAAATTAGCTTCATTGTGAAACAGTAATTAAACAGCAGGGGAGATTCACTGCCTTAGCCTTTTATTCTTGATTCTAATTTACATTATTAAATTCTATCTTATTTGCTGATTACCTTCTTGCTTAACAGGCTTTGATTCCTCATGGGTTTTATTTTTGCCCTTGCTTCTTTTTCTGGCTGTAGCAGTTTTTGCCCTCATCAATTCACAATTTTCAGCATGCTTATGCATATTATTCTGTTAGCATAATGAAGCATAAACATATGAATCAAATATTAATGTACGTAAGTGCTTTAACACACACACACAAAAAACAAATATGGTTCTGACAGATAAATTCTGGAACACTAAGTGAAAGGCTGACTTAGTTAACAACCTCCATAAAACTCCTGAAGATTTTCCAGAATATATATTAAAGGAATGCTAACATTTGGTGGGTATAAAATAAAATTTATTATTTTCTGGTTCCTGGATAAGCAATTAAGTTTTACATACAAAATCTGGATGTGGAAAAAAGGTTATATTTACTTCTAGAAGCGTGCACCAGAGATATGTTTTCACTGCATGTGGTTCTGACAATGTGAATAATAATTTCTCACTTTCCTTGCTGAGCTGGTCCTAGCACTCTTTCACTTCAATTATCTTTCCAAATTCTTTAACTTGTCGTAGAATTCATACCTCCACACTGCCTTTTATTTGTATTAAGACGATTACTATATTAAACATCAGTAACTTCAATACTGGATTATACAAACCAGTACCAACCCTGAAAATATGATGTGACAGATTATTCTCTATCTGAAGGGGAATACCATTAATTTCTTTATTAATCCCCTAATGTAAGGTTTGGGAAAGAAAGCAAACAAGTTGTGCTGGCTTATCATTAAGAAATTAACATTCCAGCCAGTACACTGCTTTTTACTCTCAGTCCTTTGTGACAGTATGATCTGCAATACTTAGCTAAAGATAACTCCACTGAAGATTCCTTAAAAGGAAGTATCTTACCGAGAGTGAATAGCCCTTACTACATCTAGGGCACTCATAAAATGCAGGCTTAATATTAGAATCATGGTGCTTCTTGAAGTGAACAGTGAGAAGCTGTTTCTGTCGAAAGCTTTTGCTGCAGCGCGAGCAGGTGAAGGGCTTCTCACCAGTATGGGTTCGTTTATGTACAATTAGGTATCGTTTCTGAAACAAATAAAATATGTGTAACATAACTATGCAGCTCTGTGATACGTGTTAAAAAAAACACACAGGCAAGCAGAAAAGTGCAAAGATGTTGCACAGACCCCTTAATTATCCTCCACTGTAAGCAGATGCTGAAGAACACATTGGGATACTGCCCAGTGACTTGGAGAAGCTCAGAGGTTTTCCTCCTAACCTCATTAAGGTTAGCAGAGAAAATAAACAGAATGGAGCAATGGTACATTCCAACATATGAAGGCCAAAGCAATGCTATCCTAAATGTATTCTTTAAAATACAGTCTTTAGTTCAGACTGCATTTATTCTGTTACATTGATGAAAAGCACATTTAAAGTGCAAATATTACATTTTGCTCTCATCACAATGTCACTAAAAGTGATTGCTCTTCCTTTATACTTCTAAGGAGTTTATGTACAAAAGATTTAACAAGAAAATACGCTCAGACTTCACAGCATTTCAATTTTACTGTTTATTTGTGAACCATTTATCTTGCAAAGAAATGTAACTTAATACTATTTCAGTTAGATTGCAGTAACAAAAGCTTGTATCTTCTAAAGGTAAATATAACCTCAAATCCAACCCTACCTTGCCAATCCCTCAATTGAAAAAGCAGTAATTTTTCAGTGAATTTAAATACCTGCTTACATGCGTAGCTGCACTGATCACATTTGAATCTTTTTTCATTTCTATGAGTCTTCTTGTGCTGAATAAGAGCATAGCGCTCATGAAAAACAGCTTCACAGTAACTGCATTTAATTGCCACTGCCATGTAGGAATGTAGATTCCTCAGGTGGACACCTGAACAGTTAGTAAAAGCATTTAATTTTAATGGTAAATTTTTTATTTCCATGATTTTGAGCAAGAGTTAGACTGTGCACAGACCTAAGTAACGCGTACATTGTAAAGGAAAATACAAAAAAAGAATCTTCTGTGCCCTCTGCAAAAACACATGAACAAATAAATTGTATATACGTAAATAATTACACCTCTACCTTCAAATACTTAATACACCTCAATAGGATTTTTATTTGAAAATATAAATAGATGCTAAAGGCATCTTTGTATGTCCAAGTATTTTTTAATACAGCTTTTTCATGTATTTCTGGAAACCTAACATTTTATATAGGTTTTGATGGTATTGGCCAGCTATATTGCTTCAAATACAGTATTTACTGCATCTGTTATATTTCTAATACACTGATTTATTAGTGAAACTCTCATGTGTACAAAAACATTTTCTTCCTAGAAAAGAAGACAAATTCACACATGAAATTTATGGACAGGGACAACTTTACCGGTACTTCAAGCAAATACCGTTCCAAACAAGAGTAGTTAAAAAATTTAGTATAAATTCCCAGAAAATCATGACTGCTTCTATTTGAAGAACTGTGGTTTATACAAGGAAAAATTTTAATTTATATTTTCAGTATCAACCTGTGTATCAGTACTGTTTGATATTGGTGTCATAGGAAAAATTTCCATTACCTGCATATAGAATGAAGATGAACTTAAGCAGTGGTTCATTGCATTCTGGGAAAAGCCCTCAACTAGCTAAAAGACATTTGAGTTTGTTGTATCACCTTCAATGTTCCATGAGTGCTATACAGTCCAAAAATAATCTTGGATATGGATGTAATAGAATTCAGAATTTAAGAGTTTTGAATGCTTGAAGCACACATAGTAAAACCACTGTACGCTGGACTGATGAAGTCAACGGTTAACTTGCACTTTACTAACTAAAGCAATTACATGTATTTCTTTAAATTACAAGGGCAATGCACTCAGCAACTAAACACATAGTATAATTTTAGATTCAGATGTAAAAGCTGACTTAGTATATGCAAAAAATTATATAGTAAAACATTCAATCTATTTTAGTTTCTCATAGAGCTAGACACATATGCATTTTAACTAGAGCTAAGAAGCAGAACGTGAGAACTGAAAGGGTATTACATAGATCTGACTATTTTTTGTGGCTTTAAGAAAAAACTTTTCAATAGAACCTAGACGTAGATTTTTTGTGAGGCACCTTCTTACTGAAAAACAGAAGGTCACAATGCCATAGGTATCGAGCACAATAAAGAAGTTAAATGTTTGCTACTTTGCATTTTAAACAAATTAAAATATCAACCACAAGATGTCACCACATCTCCTTGCAGGATGAGTTTACCTGTAAAACAATGAATACATTTTCCACAGAAATATTCTGTGATTATACGAGGTCATATATAACGTATTTGCTACCCTTGTAAGAAGTGAAAATTAGAGATTTCACCACTAATTATCTATACACTTAATTTTCTTTTTTTTTTTTTTTTTTCCTTTAAACTCACCCAAGTCACTTTTTCGTCCAATAAAGGCACTACAATGTGGACACTGGTATTTTGGCACATTTTCTCCATGCTTCTCTAACATATGCACTTTCATGGTACCACTCTGAGTGAATTTGGCCTGACAAACAGAACATTCATAGGGTTTTTCACCTATAAAAACATGAAAATAACATACACTTAGAAACTCTCTCTACTTATCTGATACTATTAGTTGACAATGCTCCTAAAAAGTTTACATAGCCAATTACAATGCAAAATCTTGATTTCCAGAAGCTGTGGGTCAACCTGATGATTTTTAAAGCCATTAATATACTTCTAAACTATTAATCAGGAATTATTTTAATTAACTTTTATTTTGTCTTTAACATTTCATGTACAAAAATGCAGTATTAACAAATGTGCAAAGAGAGAAAGTGAACAGCTGTAACAATATAATGAGAAAAATTATTCAATACCAGCCATTGGTAATGGTGGAAAAGAAAGTAGGTTTATTTTTTGGGGTTTTTTTGCCATTCTGCCCCCAAAACGTCACATCAGGTATGAGTATCATCAAAAATTACATCAACACTGGCAATTAGCAGTCTAGTAATAGCTAAAGAAACAGCTAGTGCTGAGGATCCATCGTGCACACAGATTTTGAACCAGCTCTAGTCTGGTTCTGTGGACTAAGTTCCTACCAGTACTAGATAACACTAGGTGCTCTGTTGGACTCTCTGGTTGACTCTCATTAAAAAAGAATTAAGTTTAATTGCACCAAACTGCCTCAAGATATGAACCAAAGCATGGTGAGGATATTCAGAAGATTTGATTCAAACCACATTCTCTCACTCTGATTCAAACTAAAACACTAATTGTAACATACATTACATATCTTAATTGAGCCAAGTTACACCTGGAAGTATAAGATAAATACTAAATGCCTTCTCAGGCATTACAGAGCCATGATGTGAATGCATTGCTTTCAATGTTAAAACAATTCAATTATTTGCTGACCAAATTAGTGACTAGTAATTTGAAGCCACAAGGTATGTTTTGAACAGACATTCTAAACTCTCCTGTCAGAAACATCTCCATAGAAAATTAACTGATTGAGAAATAAAAGTGACAACTTGATCCACAGAAAACAAGACCACGTAAATGAAATATTTTTCTGATATATATAAAAGTTTAGGAATAACAGTAAGACTGTTACTACCAGCACTGTACAGCTGGACTTCCAATAGCCAAATCCGGAAAATTTAAAGAGACCATGTTTTTCAGGCACATATTTACTCAAAAATCACTAATTTAAAAAGTGCTAATTTTAGAATTTGCAATGAGAGTCAGAAGTTTGCCCTATGAATGTGAAGGGCCTAAGGACACAGACTTGACTATCACGTCAGAGTCCTACCTGAATGAGTTATCATGTGCCTTTTCAGTTTATATGCATCTTTGCTAGCATAACTGCAAAGGTCACAGGCATAAGGACGCTCTCCTGTGTGTGAGCGAAGATGTCGTTTCATTTTACTTGCCTAGTATAAAAAAAAAAGACATTTTCTGCAGAAACATTTACATTAGAGACATAACAATTACAATATAAGCAATTTTACAAAGTACATCTATTGCAATTTTAAATATTGCATCAATCCTAGAATTGGCACACTCCCACCCCTCTCACCCTTTTTTCTGGTACAATCAACCTGTTGTGGTTTTAGGTAACGTTTCTGTAGTTTCTCCCAAGATTATTTTACTTCCATGTTTAGTGCCAACATAAACAAAAGGAAATTTTATAGTAGGAACATAAAAGCTAGAATTTTAAAATCAGCTGAAGGGGATACCTACTACCTTAATGCTATTTGGATACACCAAACAAAATTCTTTGAAAATACCCAGGAAAATAAATGAAAGATCAAAATCATTAATCAAAGTCTTTAGTCATCTTCAAATCCCAATGAAGCACTTCCATTGCAAAAGTTTAATTCATTCTACTATTTGATACTGTTCCTGTGATATGTGCTACCTAAATATTGTAGGGATGCAAGCTACAATTAGGAGTTACCTAATGTTCAATTCCTCCATTTACAAACATACTTAATGAATTCACTGTTAGATCCATTCAAACCCACAACACTATTCACTTCAATAAAATCAAACATGATTGCCAATCTTTGCTATACAAAAGTCAGATCACAGGCATGGCATTACTAGGGGGCTCCTCCAGCTCTCCTTATTCAGGTGAAGCTCACAGCACTATTAGTGAGAGTTCTGCAACAGCAATGAGTGCTGAACAGTTCCTTATCAAAGCAAGGGGAAGAACAGGACACTTCAACATAAACTGACAAGGTTTTTAAAGATGGAAGCTATCCAAAATCTAATTAATAAGATCAGGTGCATGGAATAAAGTTGAGGCTTGCTTACAGCTTTTATATCTGGACACAGCACGTTAAAAAATTAGATACTGGATATCCAATACTGTGACAGTGATTCAATCGTAGGTGACTGTGATTCAATCACAGGTGCATGACTGAAAGCCTATTTTTTCCAAGTGAACCCTTAGGCAGTCTCTAATTTTTTTTTATTTCCAGATTAAAATTTCAATCCTATAAAACCAAACATCATTAAGCTTACAAACACAACACATGAGCTTCATTTTAAACAGTAGCCAGTCTTGTCCTACAGTATATGGAATGAAGTGTAAAGGAAGACCAAGTACGCTGTTGTAGGATCAAATTCACACAAACACATTTTTCTACTAGCAATTTCAGTACAACAAAAAAGAACTTAAAATATTAACTACCTTTAAAAAGCTAAATAATTGTACAAATATTCATTTGAAGCAACTAATTTATAAATATTACTACATGGGACAAAGTAAGGATTCAAGGAAGTCACATTACTTGTGCCTTCTTTGAGAAGCGATGAGGACGAAAAGATGTGCACACCAATGAAATGCATGTCACCACAAATTTTTACTAATCACTTATCTTGCAGTAATACTGCACTAACATAGCAGACAAGTAAAATTCAACCCATCAGTGTGGTCCAAGGCCATTAGCTGAGCCTGCTGGTCTTTGCTTTGATGCTATGATACATGGGCCACTGATACCTGGGATCCAGCAGATCTCCCCACCTTTATGGTCCCTACACTCTTCTTTCAGGGTCTTGAAGTATTACAGCAACCACAAGTTTGGTCATTCCTCCCAATTCAGAACACATATAAACATCTGCATCACAAGCTAAGTATTAATATATTGCTTGACATTTGCAACTACCTCTGTAATATACTGATATCACTGATCTCGCACAGAAATCTTACAATAACCAAGGTTGATATAAACACTGTGATATGTGCACAGGTGAGTCCCAATTTAGCAGAAACTTCTCAGGGTTAAAAATCTGTGCAAAAACTTTCTAACTTTACAGGACATGAAAATCTTAGTATGTGAAAGCCTACAAACTCCCAAAAGATTCAGTAAGACTGTACTTACTTCTACACTAGAATATTTACACACTGTACACTTGAAAGGTTTTTCTAAAGTGTGCTTGTAGCGCCTGTGTCGTGATAGGTCACCACTGGTCACAAATGCCATATCACAGTCACTGCATTTATAGGGTCTGGTCCCTGTAAGAATACACTGTTTCTTAGAATTTTATTTAATACCACAATGGTACGATTTGTCTGCCTTAAATCAACATGTGCAGTTTTTTTTTTATAGAACCTTTTCCGAGATTCTGGATTTTTATATACAATAAATGTATACCATAAGTTTATTCTAAACACAATTTATCAATTTGCTTCATAGGGCTATACAGCAAAATGAAAACATCACAAAAAATTCTATTCTGCACATAGGAATCAGATACAACTAAAGTCAATATTCAGTTAACAATTTTTTAGAATAGTATTTAAGAAAATAAATAAATACATACAGACACAGAGAGTTACTAACTACAGATGATGTCTTTCGGCATGGAACTCCAAACAAAATCAGGGAAACTTCTGATCACAAAATGATCACAGAATACAGCCCTAAGACAAAGTCATTTGCCTGTTAATTAACTTTTGTAGATAACATGTAAAATGAGGTATTTTCACACATTAGATACCTGTGTGCATATTCAGATGGTTATACAGGAGGGTAGCTGTACTAAAAGCCTTAAGGCAGAGATGACACACGTGACGTTTCTTATCAGAATGGGTTTTCACATGATGATTAAGACTTGATATTTTGTGTGAGGTGAACGTGCACAAACCACCGTTGGAAACTGCTTCTTCTCCTGTGAGAACAAAGACACATTTAGATCATAGGAGCCACCAAATTATTACTTTATTTTTTTTAAAAACAGTACCAATTTCAATATAGTTCCTCTACTTTGGGTAAAACTAGTCCATACTTCTGCATAAAACAACTTCAAAATGCATTAAAAAAATCAAGATGTCAGACAGAAATTATTGAGTCTATTTAAGAGTTACACAATTTGCACCCAAAAAATAGTGCCTTCTGTTAGTGATACAGTTTAGAACCTAATCCCCAGAAATCTAACTCCAAGCCTAGCTTTCACCTCCAAGACAGGATGAAAATTCCTCTTGATAGCATCATTAAGACATGGTTCATCACTTACAACCTAGGCAATACACTTCTTGATGACAACTGTGTAATTAGTACTAAGTAAGCTTGTTCAAAGATTTGGAAATAGCAGGTTAAGCTCTTCGCAGCTTTCTGGTAATCCTGAATCTGTAAAGTGTATGTGAAAAACATAATGATGTAAAAGGCTCTTATAAAATCATTAGTTGAGTTTGAGGGAAAAAAAGATCAGTTCCTTGAAGAAGTCCTAGAATAAAGTTATGCTTTCTGGGTTACATAACATTTCCAAGTTCATGGCATAGCAGTAATGAATTTCTATTGAGCTTAACAAGTTAAGAGTAAATGTGCAACACTTCCAGTTTTGAAGAAGATCTGAAACTGCAAAATGGCAAATACGTCATCTTTGAAGAGCCTTTCCAGAACAGTTGTCTCAGCTCCCAAGTGCACTCTCTGTAATGATTTTCATGCTGAGACCAAAATGTATTTCAAACAATGCTTTATACCACACAGAGATGTGCAGCTAACACTTCACTTCAACAACAGCAAACAAAACCACTTTATTGTTATTTTATTCATTGTGGATTCGTGCCCACACAAAAGAACACTGTTAGCTTTGTTAAAGCTGCTCAAACGTGCTTCCTATAAACAGAGTAACTAAACCAAGGGACATTAATAATTGGTACAACATCCATACTTTGAACAACCTCAGCCAAGATACCTTAATATCCAGATACTACAACACACGTTTACAGACCCTTCAACATTACTGATGTCACCCAACTTTTACAGACACAGAGTTTCTAGGTAAACAGTTGCTTATCCATTCCCTTCTAAGTCAGTCCTTAACTTCTGCAGCATACTTTCACATTCCTAAAATCTTATATCAATCAGTCATTTTCTGTTACTTTTACTCAGGTTCTAGGAGATATCTTGCTGACAGGCAGTAATACTTGACCATCACGCTCAGCCAGCAACTTGAAACCACTCTTAAATTCATCCATAAACCCCTGAACAATCACATTTTGAAGCTCAATGAGGGAACTAAGAAAGACTAAGCAAATTACTAGGTTTATGCAAAGACATTTATATACAGTATTAACTTTGAAGTCTCTCTGGAGGTTTCAAATACCACATACTGTTCAAAAGAACATTAATTTCTCAATGCCATAAAAAATGTCTCTCCTGAACACAACACAGATGACATCAGCCTGAGCAAAGAATGTTTTATCACTTAAGACTGAAGGGTATTATTCCTTCTTCCAAATTTTAGATTTAACCTAATTTAAGCTTAACAATTAACACTGTGAATAATATAAAATTTCCACCTCATTTCAAAATGTAACTCATCTAAAATTGAATACAAAGATTATTAACTTTTCACCTTTCTTCTGCTTTGAAGAACAAATCTGAAATTTCAGATTCTTGGGATTTCTTCCAACTGTTTGTTCTGATGGAGTTGCACATTCCCGCTCTTTACCTTTATTGTATGAGTCTGACAAATCATCACCAGCTTTGCAGCTCTGCCTTTTTGCTTCCCCAGGAGAGAAAAAAAGTTCCTTTCCTCCTCCCTCTTCATATGGGGTCAGTTGCTGGACCTTATTTTCAAATGCAATGATATAATCTCTGTCAATCTATTTAAAAAAGAAAATGTTTTACAACTTTCCTAATCAAAGGCAGTTGCTAGTAGCAAAACAACTACACTATCAACAGGATGCAAGCTATTAGTTAATTTTGATTTTCAGCCTGAAATGTGATGGACAAAACTGCAACAAAAATTTTGCACTTAACATACAGCAATCTAACTGGGAGGTTAACAATTACTGAAATTGAGTCCTAGCTCTTCAAAATTTTATATAAAATTTCAGAGCATCGTTTTGAGATTACAGCACTGAGAACACAGAAGCTTGTATTCTCATTTTTAAAAAACATTTTAAATTTAACTTTAATATGTTTACCTTTTAAAAGAAAACAACAAGAAAGTATGGTCTCATTTTCTTACCAAACTAATATAGAAGTTTCGCAGCTTAATTGTAACGATTATATATTTTTATCATATAGTAATTAATGAGGTTGTGATACTTTTTGCACAAGATAAATATGACCATACCTCAGAAATTATCCAGCGTGGCACCTGAGTCTTAAAAGAAAAAAAAAAAATTCTTAAATAAACCTATAGCTAGCACAGGATAAATACCAATGTTTGCACGTTCTTTTAATGAAAAGCACTTCAAATAAGGCCATATTACACATCCAGCCTGACTAATGACTGCTGTATTGTACAAATGCAGAAGGGCAATTCTCTAATGCTACTTTAGAGATCTAGGCTGGCAAACAAAATTGCACCAAATTGGCAAACTGAATTAAAAACTTGTCTAGAAAGGCTAAATTTTTAGTTTGCCTTTTTAAACATGGGATGAAATTATAAAAAGCTATACAAAGGATTACATACTTAAGTACAACAAAACTGAACGTCTAGAAAAAATAATACTGAAGTCAGACTCAAATGAGTGTGACAGTACAAGCTAACAGCTTACGTATCACTATCTTCACCACATCCAGAACTTGTACCTCAATCAGCAGCATGGCTGGTGGTTTCTCCGTTGGTTTGCTTTCTGAACTCTTTACTTCCCCTCTTTCTTGTGAAACATTAACATGTGTCAGCCCTAAGTCATAAAAGACACAGACACCTTCCTGCACGCTGACAGCCATGCCCGCCGGCGCGGTGTGCAGCACAGCCGGCCCCTGCTGCACCCCCGGCTGCAGCACAACTGCCCCGGCCAGCGCTGCCATCGCCAACCCCTTCTCCAGGCGGGCAGTTATCTGGCAACCTCCTTCCAAGTTCTCTTCCTCTGCCTTCAGAGACACTGTCTGTAGTGTCACCAAGTGTTCGGCATCCTCCTCAGGAGACAGGGACCTCTCTGAGGGGACACTTGCCCCCGTCTGCATGCTGAGTCCCGGGCTGTGGTCCCTGGCACTGCTCCTCTCCTTCACTCCTGTCCTCAGCACGCTCTTCTCTTCTGTCCCTCTTTCTTTCCACTCCCCTGATTTTGGTGAAAGGCTCCAGCAGCCCTAAGGCCACGTACTCTGCTGACTGAACCTGCTCAAACCGCAAGGTTAAAAACCAAGGGCAAACCACAGGCCTTCAGGACAACTCCCGACGCTGCCTCCCACTCCAGCCCCTGAATCTCCTCGGTGTCCCGCACACAGCACGGCCGCCTCCCCAGCGCCTCACTGACCAGTGCTGCCCGCA